ATGTAAGACAGTAGTTGCTTCTAGGGAGCAAGGGAAATGACACTGAAAAGGAAAACAGTAAAAATTTCAATTTTAGGGTTTTAGTTCTTTTAACTAAAAAAACAAGAGCTAAGTAGGCCAAAATGCTAGCATTTGTTCATTCTGGCAGTAGACATGTATAGTATATATGTATATGCTAACACTGTATTTTCTACATTTTACTTTTTTTCCTAAATCAAAAAATAAATACAATGGAAAAAAGATCCCATGGAAAATAACAACAACAAACATGTCAATGAATATGTGAGTTTTATTTAAAGAAAAATTAAAGGGGGTGAGAGCTGTCAAAGGAAAGAAGCATCGTACTCCTGGGCTGGAAGAGAAACGATTGAACCTGTCAATTCTCCAGAGCACAAGCTTTTAAGTAATTTCAATTCTAATCAAAACTTTATTCTGATTTATTGGTGAGAGGAAATAGACAAAATTATCCTCTTGTTCCTCTACACCAGAGTTGCAAAAATTAATGTAGACAGGAAGCACACAGGGAATTGTTACAATGTAGATTCTGACCCAGTAATTTTCCCATGGAGTCAAAGGCTGCATTTCTTGATGCCAATACTGCTACCACATGTGAGTAGCAAAGATCTAGAAAGTAAACGTAAAAGAAAGCAGCAAGAACTCGAGTAAAGAATAATTATGGCGAGGGGGAGGTAGTAACTTGCCCAGTAAGTTATAAAACATATAACAATGCTTTAGTAATCAAATACATGCAAATAGCAAAATAGCATATATCACATTTAAATAAGTCATATTTTTAAGTATTGAATAGGTGCCAGAGACTGTTGCGGACCTTGATGTGTATTAACTTATTTAATCATGATAACAACTATATGAAGGCTGTAATATTATTTTCATTTTATTGAAGAAGAAACAAAAGAACAAAGGAAATAAGCAATTTTCCCAAGATCATACAACTGTTTTGTGGCTAAGTCACATTTAAAGGTAGATTGACCCTTTATCTTGGCCTCCATGCTATATGCTACATGCTAACATATCTAGCTATACTCAATTTTAAACTCCCAAAAAAGAAGTTTTAAATTGGGTATGGTTAGTGCACAGAGGAGGAGGCAGGAGGATCATAGTTTGAGGCCTTTTAATCAAAAGAAAAGTGGGGCCAGGCACCAGTGACTCACACCCATGATCCTTCACTACTTGGGAGGCTGAGATCAAGAGGGTCCCAGTTCAAGGCCAGCCAAGCCAAATAATTCACAAGAACCTATCTCCAAAATAACCAGAGTAAAATGGACTGGAAGCGTGGCTCAAGCAGTAGAGCACCTGCTTTGCAAGTACAAAGCCCTAAGTTCAAATCCCAGTTCCATTAAAAAAAAAAAGGGGGGTGGGGGGGATGGGGGAAGAAATGAGGAAGATTCTGCTGCAAGGTAAGATGGAGTAATAGGGACCAAGTCTGCCCCTCCATCAAAAACAACTGAACACCAGAAGAAATAAGCAATGGTTTTCAAGACACTGGACATGAGGCAGTAAAGAACAGTGACAAGCCCTACAATGCTCCAGACCACTGCCCTGGGAGTTTCCATGTCATGATACAGAGAGGGGGAATAAGAAAAAGCCCTACACATACCTTGAGTTATGGAGACTGAGCTCAGAGTCCAAGGAAAGAAATCAAGAGAGGTCCCAGGGTAGAATACCAGAGAGGACAGAGATGCACTGATAGAGAACCCCAAAGGTCTGCAGGAATGCCTCCCTGAGTATTCAGCACATACCTGTGAGGCAAAAGAACTAACCACTCAGAAGGATTACAGGCACAGGACATTGAGTACTCAGTAGTGGGAAATAATCAGCCCTAGAACAAAGCTCCAAAATATTTACAAGAATACAAAAATCCAGCAATCAGCAAGGTAAAATGCACAATGTCTGGCATCCAATTAAAGGAAAGAGGAACACATGACTCATAATCAGGATAATAAATCAAAACAGACCTAGAGTTGACATGGATATAAAACATTAAGGACACTGAAACAGTCATTGTAACTTCATTTCAAATGTTCAAAGGAGACATGAATGGCATTTTAAAAAAAAAAGACTTTAGAGATAAAACTTCATTTGAAATGAAAGCTGCACTGGATGAGATCAGCATCTAACTGGACACTGTAGAAGATAAAAAATTAATGAACGTAAAGATGGTGCAACAGAAACTGTTCAAAATGAATACAGAGAGAAAATGACATTTTAAAATATGAAAAAGATCATCTGTGAGCTGTGGGACAACATCAACCAGTCTAAGTAACTGGGATTGCTTTAAAAATGAAAGGAGCAGAAATAAGATTTAAAATAATGATTTCCCAAACTTGATGAAAACCAAAACTCACAGATCCAAGCAGCCTAAGAGTCCAAGCACAAGAACAAAGAAAATTATACCAAGATATGTCATGGTAAAAGTGCTCAGAACCAGTAGTAAGGAAAAAAATTCTTAAAAGCCACCAGGAAAAAAAAAATTACATGTGGAAAAAGGCGATAGCAACAAGAGCAGATTTCCCATCAGAACTATGCAGAAGAGAAGATGGCAAAGCAACATCTTTAAATACTAAAGGGAAACAACTCTCAATCCACAATTCTATACCCAACAGCCTTTTCAAACAAGAAAGTGAAATGAGGACGTTTCAGACATGAAATAGTTAAGAGGATTCATTACTTGCAGACCTGCATTATAACAAACGCTAAGGAAGCTCTCCCAGCACAAGGAAAATGGTATCATGGAAATCTGGGTCTACACGAAGGAACGGAGAACATTAGAAATGGTAGCTACAAGGTAAACTCACTGTTGAAGCAAAAAATACTAATGAAGAATTGTGGTGTTTTAATATACGTAACGTGCTCTGTGTGAACTCACTCTGAAGGCATCTTGAAGCAAAAGACTGCAAAGTCTCTGTGTAATGGCACACATAGTCTCATGGTTCACCCCACCTGTGAGACTCCACAGCTTTCTAGGCTGCAGGCCTAAACTCTGGTTTGTGCAGACTGGTTTGTCCTGTTTTTTGGTTTTGGTATCACGAGTCAGTCTTACACACAAATTCCTGAACAAGACCTACATGACACCCCCTACCTAACTCTCCAACCTCCTCTCTTCCCACCCCGCCAGTCCCCAACCCCAGTACCACAAAAATAAATAAATAAATAAAATTCTTTAGGACCTATTTTTGTTTTGTTCATTCGTCTATTGTCTGTGTTCCCTTCTAGAAGGTCTGTTTGGTCACTGTGACATCTCCAGCACACAGATTAGCACCTAACACATAAGAAGCCCTCAGTAAATGCTTGCTCAATAAGTGCAATTCAGAGTACCACTCTTTAAAGGGACACTGACTAAGAGAAAAACTATGGTGAGGAGTCTAGAAATCCTGACCACTAGGGACTGGTGAAAGAGCTAGAAATGTGTAGCCAAAGGAAGCACAGACTCGAAAATGTTCAAATTACCCTCAAACACTGAGGGCTATCACATTAATTGTATTAATTGGTATTTGTTCCACATATCAAACTAGCACCTGCTGGCCAAAGTTTCAGGGAAACATATTTTGAGTCAATACACAAAAATAATTTTATTACAATTAAAGCTTCTTAATAATGAAATTAACTATTTCATGAGTTTCCCACTATTGAAGAAATACAAAAGGCTGCAAGGTTATCTGTCAGAGATCCTGGAAACAGAATTTCTACACTGGAAGGTAAATAAGGAAAGAAATTACTAGCCACACAGATGCTAAAAGCCTGTCATTCTAAGAATACAGTCAGTGTTTAATTTCAGTTATACAAAAGGGTCAATCTCCATTATCACCTTTCATTCAATGTATTTATTCAACAACTAATCTCAACTAATCTCAATGAATGACTGCATTAGCCTTTCTGACATAAGTGAAAATAAAACATGACTGTTGTTCCATCCCAAACCTACAATCAGATGGCAGATCTATATTTAGATTTTTAAGTAGCCTTCAAATTTTTTTCCAACTGGTTGTACTAGTTTACATTCCCACCAACAGTGTAAGAGGGGTCCTTTTTCCCCACATCCTCGCCAATACCTGTTGTTGGTGGGGTTGCTAATGATGGCTATTCTAACAGGGGTGAGGTGGAATCTTAGTGTGGTTTTAATTTGCATTTCCTTTATTGCTAGAGATGGTGAGCATTCTTTCATGTGTATTTTGGCCATTTGAATTTCTTCTTTTGAGAAATTTCTGTTTAGTTCACTTGCCCATTTCTTTATTGGTTCATGAATTTTGGGAGACTGTAGTTTTTTAAGTTCCCTATATATTCTGGTTATCAGTCCTTTGTCTGATGTGTAGCTGGCAAATATTTTCTCCCACTCTATGGGTGTTCTCTTCAGTTTAGAGACCATTTCTTTTGTTGAGCAGAAGCTTTTTAGTTTTATGAAGTCCCATTTATCTATGCTATCTCTTAGCTGCTGTGCTGCTAGGGTTCCATTGAGAAAGTTCTTACCTATACCTATTAGTTCCAGAGTATTTCCTACCCTTTCCTGTACCAACTTTAGAGTTTGTGGTCTGATATTAAGATCCTTGATTCTAAATCGACTAATTTAAATATGAACCAATCTCACTCCATATTCCAGGGACGGTCTCTTACTGCCTCTGCCTAAGTACATTTTTTTTTAGGAAGTCGATATATTTAACCAAAATAAATATATCAACAGAAGAATGCTAGATGTCTAAGCACCATTACATTCTAAAATTAAAATCCTCTAAGCCCATCGTAGTATATGAAATTAATGTTTTTACATAATAAAAATGTTGACAGCAGAAATAAAGCATTTTCGCTTAAGAAGCAGAAATTGTAATAAGCAATTGTATTTTTGAAAAAGGAAAAGTTTTAAGCAATTTTGTAAAAAAAAAAAAAAAGCCATAGCAAATGGTTTCAGAAAAAGTTATGAATACAAAAAGGGTACAAGACAGAGTCAAGTCACCAGACCATAAACCAAACGCAACTACTCAACATACCACAGTCTGAAGGCATTGGAGCTGCAGAAATGGAAAAGATAACCGGTGTCTCAGAACCTTGAAATAAAAATGGGTATCTTCCAACCAAATGATTTCCTTCTAAAGGTAAATCTGGAAGGTCCTCTATGGTCATCTTCTAGAAAACCACCTATAATGAGAAAGGAGGGAAAAATATTTCTACTTAATTTGTGTGCAACTTAGAATGATTGCTTTCAAGAACAAAAATCCTAAATTTCTTTTCACGTCTAACCTACTGACACTTTCAATTCCAACCTTCAATAATTCATTTTGTGACAAGGAAAAAAAAAAACCCTGAGCAAACTGTTACTTAAAATACACACACTGCTTCTATACAGTCATAGCACATGTACCCTCTCTAGACAAAGCTTATGAGCAATAAACTATAATAGAGGAAAACATTTATTTCCCAGTAATAGGAGGAAACGTGTTTGAAATGCTGAGCTAATCTAAATGAGTGGCCTCCTCTTACGGAAACCAACAAGGGCACATTTCCCCGTAGATGAATTTTCACTCCTCATAACGCTGACACAGACTACGTACCATTTGCCATCCAATAACCTGTGCCATGTGCTCATCACATAAAAACAATCTAGTGCAGAATGTTTCCATTATTTTCTGATATTCCAGAAAGCTTTACTGAAATAGCTTATGGAGACTACTCCACTTAACAATGAAACAGGCTCTGTTTATTCCATCCTACAAAAAATAGAAGGCTATGCCCTTTAACCCATATCACTTGTATTACCTCTTTTTCCCACAGAATGTGAGTGCTTATAATAAATTCGCTCTAAAGTAGATTTGTGCTATACCATAGCCAACATCCCAGAAATGTACAAAGCAGAAAAAAATGCCAAATAAAATCAACCTATGAAATGAAAAACTCGTTTCTTTTGTATCAGATCTTCTAAAGTCTGAAATATTACGAATCCTCATGTCTATTTTTAGATATAAGCAGAAAATCATATTATAAAACCAAACGTTTTTAGATTATTTTCAGTAGAAAGAATAAGTAAAAAAAAATAGTTAACTGATAGCTTAATGTAATAGGACATAAAGCCATGCTAGACATCACTCAATGTGTGCCTCACTATACACCTGGTTAACCAACCCTATACTAACTTAATCATCTTTACCTTCCCACCCCTGGCCAAGACTCTCTGAGAGGTTTCCTCCCCATTTGGTTCATGTTTTGTCAATACCAGCAGGAACTGGGAAGAGTAAGATGCTTTTTTTTTTTTTTTAAGGAATCTGCATTCACCCTTATGACTGGATGTTATACATTAAATAACCTAGCCCAATTGTTATTATTTTAAAGGCATTCAATTTTTCTTAGATGCTAAAATTACTTGCCAGCCAATACTCTATCATTTTTACATTAACCTTGTCATATAAACAGGAAAATAACAAAGTCAAGGAACTGGTATTAGACAGCAATGTTTCCCCACAAAACCACAAGAACAGCTCTCCTTCACATCACAGCTTCTCCCTGACTCAGGATTTCTACTTGCTGGCCCCTGCTTGCTTGGCAGCAAAGGTGGGTGATATTGTACACAGGGGCTTCCTTTAGAGGCACAAACACTTAAATTTAATAAGTATCTACTATGGAACCACTACATACAAGGCACTATTCTGGATCTTTCAGAGATCACAAAAATGAGTAACAGATGACCCGTGGGTGCTAGATAGCTTATAATCTATCTACTAGGAAAAAACAAAAGATCACTGATAAACACAGATTATGAGTCAGAAAGGGCTGTTCTATGGCTGAGGACCAGAACATTTGCTATGGAAGCTTCTACGAATCAGAAACGAGGCACTGAAGAAAGTACCAATGGAGATGACTGCTAAAAGATGTGGAGGAAGAAACTAGGGGAGAAACTACAAAGGGGACCACACAAAAGGAACAGCAGGCTGGAACCTGGGTATACCTAAGAACTCAGTAAGAGATTAGGCTGAATCCTTTTTTTAGGCTATCCTGAGCAATTCTTAAAAACGTGACCAAAGAGCAAATCACTCAATTCCATGAGCACTGAGGAAATGCTAATGTTTCAAAAGGGAGTACCACACTTAAAGCCGTGTTGAGGAAGGTCCATCTGACTACACTCACACTTTGTTATTTGTCACTTGCACATATCTTTTATATGCTGAATTCTTCAGCAAAGTGATGAAGTGCTTATCTTTGTCAGTTAAGAGGAGCCACCAAATGCCTTTTCCTTCAAAGTATGGGACTGCCCATTCAAAACAATTTTTGCATGCTCCCCAGAGCACCTTTCATTGTTGTATAACTTGTTGAGCTCCAAGTCAAGAACTTTATCTCACACAACTATCAGCTACCATAGGAGCTAGAGTCAAACGCATGCTTAACGATCATTCAAATCCCACATCCAAAGTGGAAAAATAATTCACACAATAGATGGACTCAAGTCCATTATTTTACATGATACTTCAAAGCCCAGAGAAGCCACAATACTGCAAAAGCAACACAGTGGACATTCTTTGTATTTTATGCCTTCATGGCAGTTTTCCCTAGTCTTATTTCTTTATCTTTATGGAAAAAAAAATTTACCTTTTGTCCCACCACAGAAAACTACATACCTCTGTAAATTTTCATAAAGCCTCAAAATCCTCCACTAAAAGCAATATCTGGATCTGAAATCTATGGCACCTGGAATCCTAATCAAATGTAAAGATATACTAATCTGGATTGAGTATATACTCTTTTTGTGTGGCACTGGAGTTTGAACTCAGGGCCTCACACTCCCAAGGCAGGTGATCTATTCCTTGAGCCATGCCTCCAGTTCAAGTATATAATTTCATTCCAAATCCTCCTACGTTAACTGGTGAAAAACTTTTATATAACATAAGTCTAAAATGAAAAGTCAGCCCCAATTAACTGTACACAGATACCCCCAAATAGTTACAATAACTAGAATACAATACCCCAGACTTGCAATTACGTGGGAATTCCATCTTACTCCACTAACCCATTAACTCAGATCAAATGCATCTTGTAATGTGGCTCTAATAGTTCAGGATTTTTCAAGGATGCTGGTTCTGCCTTCACACAGAAGTAGTAATAAATGCCTATCAAATTCTTCAAAGTTGTTTGGGGTTGTCAGACCTAAGAAATTGCCTAAGGCCAAGTGATTCCCTCAGATTTGTTTTCCTTTATTTTGCTTTTGTGGTGCTGGGGATAGAACCCATGTCCTCACACATGCTAGGTAAGTGCTCTCCCACTGAGCTACAGTCCCTGCCCTTCCCTCAGTTTTATCTGGCATATGGCTCCAGAGCAGCACCGTCAAGCATCCAAGCATCATCAAACGAACAGTAGTTGGAATCACCATACTTTATCACCCAATTTCCTGTAGCAACTTGTCATGAGTATTTTCATGAGATTCCAAACACTAACCAAATAAGCACGGAAAAAGCACAGCTCCAATGGTCCTTTTATTTGCTACCTACAAAACATCTGTTCTATCACCACAGGTCACTGGAATTATGGGAGCCTTTATTTTCATGAGATTCAAAAACAAATCTAACCAAATAAGTTCTTAAAGCATACGTCCAGTGGTCCTTTCATGTGCTGCCTACAAAACACCTGTTCAATCACTAAACACTTATGGACACTTAGCCTTAGGCCCCAGAGAAAATATCAAAGGCAAGACACCTGTTCTCAAAGAGTTCAACAAATATTTATTGAGTGTTTGTTACTAACTACTAAGATGGGCATATCAAAGGTAAAGAAAATAGATATACCCTTGCCCTCACATAGATTACAGCCTAGTGCGTAACTACTACAAAAATTGCCTAATTGCTGTAAAGCTGCAATTACTATGCAACAGTAGTGAGTACTATAACCAAGGAGAACAAGGTACAATAAAAGCACAGATGCAAGAAAGCAAAGGATTCCTGGGGCACTAAGAATTAAAAGCTGTGATGTAAGCTTAATGTGATGAACAAGCCTGTAAACCAAGCACCCAAGAGGCTGAGGCAGCAGGACTGTGAGTTCAAGGCCAATCTGGGCTACACATGTGACTATTTAAATTAAATTAAAAATTCAGTCCTTCCACTGCTCTAGCTTTATTCAAGTGCTCAAAAGGTCAGGTTGTGTGTGACTAGTGCTAGAATATTGAACGGAGCAGAGCACTTCCTCCCTCACATAAAGTTCTACTGCACAGCACAGAAATAGCGCAGCTCACTCCCAAATAAGAACAAGAAACAAAAAAAAAAAAGGCTAATGCACTAAGGAAGCTCACAGCAGTGTAATTATAAATCATTCAGAAGAGAACAGTAAGACTAAAAGGAGCCAGATGCTTGTAGGTTTTAACAGGGACAAGGAGTGAAGCTGATTCCATAAACTCAAGATCTCAAGTATATACTGTAAACGTGGAGTTGTTAAAAGCAGTAAGACACCATAAAATTATCACTTTTTTAAAAAGGCCTTGCCAGTGGGGCTGTATCTGGCAAACTCGAAATATTGGAAATAAATCCTACAAACAGTATACCACATGCCAAATCTACAAAACAGAACTACCCACATCTCTTACATTTTAAGATTCAATCTTTCAGCCCAGGTAGTCCATGTCAACTGAGAGTATAACCAAAAAAATACACCAGTTATTTATGATAGCAAAATAAGATGGAACCAGGGTGGTTTTGCATCATTAAAATGTCGAAAGCTGGACTTCTACCATTTAAGTCTCTTCTTTCCCTTCATACTTGCTACACATCCAACACCACCTGCTCTTCTGCTATTTAGACAACTTACTTTAAACTGCAGGTTCATAAACGACAAACGTCAAAGTGAAAGTGAAGTACAAATGAAGTATTTGACGGATGCTTCTTCAGAGAAAGGTGTTTCTCACTGAAATATTTCAAATGTACTGCTTTATACTATTCCTACAAATATAAAACAGTCCCTGTTGGAACGAAGAGCAATTATGATCCCACCAGGATATCAATTCTCTGATACATATGCAACACTGTCTCCAAAGAGAGTCGAGATCAGTGGCCTACAGAGTCTCCGGGTGAAGCGCACAACCTCACATCTAATTCAAAAGAACGCTAACATTCTCCATCCCTGAATCTAATCCTAAAGACGAGGGCTAAAATGCGTCTCCATGTAAGGCAGGTCTCAGCTCAAGTGTTCTGGCAACTTCCCTTCCCCACGCGGATGACTGAGAACTAAGGAATCCCGGGGCTGGTCAAGGACTAGAAGGGAAGCCATTTGGTTAGGCTTTGAATGCCCCCTGGCAAACGGTTTCTCAACAATTTAATGAACCAGAGGACACAAGTGAGACCCCCGAAGGGGCCGATGTGTGTACAGCTGCGACGCACGGGGCACTGCGACGCGCTGTGCGCTGCAGGGACTCCCAGGACGTCCGCGCGGTCACCGCAGGGGCTGCGGCGCGCGGGCCCTGCCCGTCCCGCACACCTCGCGGCACCCATGTCTTCCTAAATTTAACGCATCCCACAGCCACGGAAACGCGAAACCCACATCCCCGGTCGGTGGGCCGCGCCGCCCCAGGGAAGCCTCCCGGGGGCTGGTGACACCGGCGCCCACGGGAGGCGGCCGCCGGGCTTCTAGGGCCACCTCCGCGCGGCCTCCCGGAAACGCCAACCGTCCCTCGGGACCCCCGCGCCGCCTCCCGCCCCGGCCCGGAGCTCGCGGCCCGGGAGACCCCGCGCGCCTCCGCCCCACCTGCCTCCTCCGGGTTCTCTCGGAGTGCCGGCTGCGGCCGCGGGGAAAAGCAGAGGGGCGCGCTCCCCGCCCGGCGCTGGTGTCCCGTGGCCGGCCGCGGAGCCTCCCACCGCGGAGCCTCCCACCGCGCCGCTCCCCGACCTCACCCGGCCCCTCCCCGCCGGCCGCCTCCGCGCCGCGCGCGCCGAGCCGGGCCCCACGCGGGTCGGCGCGCGCGCAGTGCAGCCACCCGGGCTGCGCGCAGGCCTCGGCCTCGGCCCCGCGCACGCGTCCGCGCTCGCTCGCCTCCAGCCTGCGCCCCTGCGCCCCTGCGCCCCTGCGCCCCTCAACAGACAGAAGATCAGGTGCTCCGAGCGCTGCCGTGGATTTCCCTTGCGTAGGCTGAGGCCACGCGGAGCAGGGTCTCTGAGACACGGGGGGATGTAGGGCACCCTGTGCATGCCCTCCTTTTCTAAAGCCAGCAGTTGTTCCAATCTGGCCTAACTTGCTTTCTCAATCCCGGACTGGAAACGCTTTTACCTGCACCTTGGAGGCAGTCTTTTTTGGGGCAGTGTAGCCGTGCATGGCCTAGAGTGGATCTATCAGTCAATCGCCTGTTTGTAGGCCTCCTTGTAAAAAGCCTACTCAATACCCACGTAAAGCAATTGCACAAGGAAGTGTCAGCATGGGGGCAGAGGGGAGACATGAATGGTCATCCGAGGAGTTTATGTCTCTGCTCTCTCCTCACCTTCCTTCTGTTCTCCATCTCCCAAGAACAGAAAAGTGACAAAACTGTGGCACCTAACACCTAACACAGGTGGATGCTGACATCCTGGCTCCCTGCCATCCAGTGGGAAGGTGTTGACAATGAGTCCTGTTAATGAAGAAGACTAATGAGACCACGACTGAACTTTTTGTCGCTGAGTCAATAGTGTCACCCCATAACCACCTTCTGTGAGGCCTAGACAAACTGCTGTCACTGTACTGGCTCACACACAATACCTGGTAGTAACATGTTGAGTGAGTGAATGTCCATTAGTGTCTGCAAGAGCAAAGGTGAGTACAAACCACACACCTGAACACCTCTTCCTTTTAGAACCAGGATGACTACAAAATGACCTTCCCAGTTGTTCCAGTCCTTCTAACTACATCCTCCCACAAGGTGATCACATTTGAGCACTTCCAGTAACAAAGAACTTAAGTCTCTTAAGGCAGCTGTTTTATTGTGAATAACCCTTTTGGAAAAATTCTTCCTTCCTTAGGAGCTAAACTCCAGCTCCCTGTATCTCCTCCTCTTTGGGTTCTGTTTCTAATGTGGAAACTCAGATGAAGTCTAACTCCAATTCAAGGTATCAGGACAAATACTCTCTGCCCCTTCTATGACATGGTTACAACCCCACTCACCAGCATGCTGCAGTTCTCTAAAGGATGCATCCCAGCTTCTCTTGAGCCCTCATGTGATGCTCAGGAATGATGGGTGGCCTATTGAATGCAGAGAGGAGAAAGACTGCCACCCCTTTCTATGTCCTGAGCTTCTGTTAACACAGCTCTAAATATCAAAATAGTTGTTGTTGCAGTTACATGACGTTGTTGAATTGGGTGGAGCACACAGCCAACTAAAACCCACGTGCTTATGCAATATTAAATTCCATCACCATCCCACATCCCTGGTCAGTTGCCAGTTTCTCTGGCCCTAAAGGTTCTGCATCTCCATGCACTCTAAAGGATGATAATGGGACAAGGAGTCCTCCCTTCAAGGACTCCACCTTTCATCACACCCTTTTCTTGTCTGGCCCAATCTGCCTTTGGTGGGCTAGAAGCACTTGTAAATGGAAACTGTTGTCACTGAACCACAGAAATTCATAAAGAAAGAAGGAGCTATAGATAAAGTTTCCACTGATATTCAGTTCACTTCTATTATTGATTGAAATTATCCCTCTGAGATACCACTATGAGTAGGTGGTGGGTGTGTCTAGCTGAGTTGATCTTAGCTATAATAAAAGTCTCTGTTAGAACCAGCCAGGCCATTGTCTTTTTCTGCTACACCCAAACACCATACAGTACATAGGCAAATTCCCAGGACACCAAGTCATCAAGGAGAGAGTATCCCTGGTTGCCTTTATTCCAAAAACTGAAGTTACTTCCTAGCCCACGAGCAGGAATGAAAACTCTCATTGGAGTCATGCTGCCTGGAATATTCAAATCTTGGAAGTGGTATTCCCCAGCTAACAAGAGTAAGACCAGACAATGATAGGGGGGCCAGAATTTGGAGCTCGAACTATCCATTGGGGAGGGAAGGCACATGGATTATGACCTAGCCGCAGCTGCTGAGATCCAATTATAACTGAAGACACAAAGTTCCTGAATAATGTAGGAACAAACCACAGTGGCAGGAGAGTATTAGCATCAGTGGTCACCAGCATGGTGTGAGAAAAAGCTTTATTGACTGTCCACCGTATGGCGCTTTACATATGGGATCTTCCTTGTCTGCCTTTGCAAATGAAGAAACAGATTCCTGGAAGCTGTGTAACTTGCTTTCATATGCTCTGGGGGGAAAAAGTTAAGATTCAAGCCTAAGTCTATCCTGTAGGAAAGCCTATGTTGACCCCTATTTTGTGTCTCCTATAGAGAGTGTCCTTGCAGGCAGTAAGGGCCCAAAATGGCTTCATGAAGCAACAATGATCATTCAGAAATTCGGTCAACATCAGGGAGGTCTGTCGGTAGATATCAGGACCCTTACACTATGAGGAAGGGGTTGGGAAAATAGGTAAAAGAAGACAGAGTAATGGCTCTTCTGTAGAGAGGGTATCGGGCAGGATAACGTTCAGAGGAGTGAGTGTACAGAGGACCAAGGTCTTAGGACCATGAGACATGCTAGGCAGAAACCTTAAAGCCTTCCTGTCTTCCATGTTTGCAAATGAGGTGATCATTAACAAAGAAATCCTAAAAGAACCAACAAACTATTAGAAGGAATAAGTTCAGCAAGGTTGCCAAGTACAAGATCAATTTATAAAAACCAATTGTTTACAAGAGCAGCAAACAGGTGGAAAATAGACAAGAGATCATGCACAATAGCAATAAAACTTTACAACACAATTTCTAGGAATTAACCTTACAACTTGTGAAAACTTTATGGAAAAAAATTTTAAATCTTATGTAAGGACATAAAAGAAGACTGAATAAAAAAAGATATACCATGGATAGAATGGTTTTTATAGCATAAAAAATGTCAGCTTAATCTCTAAATTCAATGTTTTTGGTATATTGTAGCAAATGGAAATTCTCGTAGGAACTAAAATGTAAAGGAGGCCAATCAACTAATAAAACATATAAGGAAAGATCTTCAAATAAGTCAATTTTAAAAAGGAAGAGCCAAAGGAGTAGACCTGCTCTGCCAGATATTATGTCATTACTACGTAATAATAAAAAAAGAATAATGGCACTGCTCCTGCAGCTGCCACCACTTCCAAACACCAGGTAACACAGCCACTGAGAGTGAGCTCAGGGCCTCCTCTTGCCAGGCAGGCACTCCACCAGCTAAGCCTCACCCCAAGCCCTTCTGCGTTTAGTTCAGTTTTTGGATAGGTTCTCCAGCTAACTTCACCCATCCATTTATTTTTGAGATAGAGTCTCACTAACTTTTGCCTAGGCTGGCCTCAAACTGTGATCCTCCTATCTCTGTCTCTGGAATAGCTGAGAGTGGAGGTGTATACCACCACGCCCTGCATTTAAGTCTTCTTTATAGGCCAACATAGAGGAAGGGACAAAAGGAATGTTTCATGGCACCAGAATCATAACTGCCATTCCCACAATTAACAAATAGTTAAGAGGAACTGTTATAAATCAAGAGATTTCAGAATTCTAGCCACAGCCTGTAACGTGCAGACTTTGTCTGGATTTGAATTCAAACAACGGTAAAAAAATAAAAAAATAAATGAAAAATAAAATAAAATAGCATGGCCTGGGGATGTAGCTCAGTGATTAAGTGTTTGCCTAGCATGCACAAGGCCCTGCATTCGATCCCCAATACCACAAAAAAAAGAAAAAAGATAAAATAATAGTTATTAAAGCTGAATGATGGTATTTTATTCTTTCTTCTTTTGCATGAATTTGAAAATTATTCCATTGTAAAATTTGTTTGGTTTCTTTTTTTTTTAAGCCCAAAGAAGGCAGGAATTTAGTCTACTTCTGTCACTGCTATCTTCCAAGTACCTAGAACAATACCTGGCACATAGCACAAATTCAGTAAATATGCGTTGATCAATTGGACCAGGTTCTTAAGATTTCAGTGTCAGTAACAATAGATTATTATGTCGAAGGCATTTAGAAATCACAGAGTTGCCTTTGTAACACATGCATGCACACACTTGAAAAGGCAAGGCATTCATGTATCACCAACAGCTCCACCCCATTAGACTTTCCAGCAGTAGTTTACAAAAACAATCCAGTTTTTATCTGTTCACTGTAAAGCATCAATGGCTTTAATAAAATCTTGATTAGGGGTTGAGAGAATGTCAGACCTCCTGGAGGTGCCACTGAGCTCACACCTTGTCAACAAAGGATCCAATGAATCACCTAACCAAAGAAAGCCATTGACAGACCAATTAGCTGTTCTAAGTCATGAGAAAGTCTCTTTTGTGACAAAAAAAAAAAAACCAGCATTGATAAAAAGATTGTTTTTGACATTCCTCGTCTAACCATATTTGAAACAGCAGGAAACAGTCAGGGTAAAAAGAAATAAGAATTGCTTTTTTAAAATCACGTGGAGTTCAAGACAAGAAGTTATGGTCTATCTTTTAAGGCCCATCAAAATATATCATGCAGTAGCTTTATCATCATCAAGATAATCATAGCCCTAAGGCACTGAATAGCACTTAGAAAGGCAACCAAATTGCATATTGGTCCATCAAATTACCAGAAATAAGTTGAGTGCCTCCTACACACACCCTCCTTCCCCAGCCATGTGGAAGCTGTAATCAAGTGCAGGTTCACATTGGTTTTCTAGTAAAGGAGGGAAACTGTTATGGTAGGCATCCTAAATTGGAACCCCAGGATCATCTCACTAGCTCTGCTACTCTAGCATGTGTTTTAACTTCCCTGAGCCTCAGTTTGCCCTTCATAAGATAAGATAAAGAATACTTGCTTCAAAATGGAGAACAGGAAAGTAAAACAGGTCCTGTCAGGCCATCGATACCAGTGGGAGAGAGGAGGACGTAAGGAAAGGGTGGAGGAGGGTGAATCTGATGGAAATACTATGTACTCATGTATGAAAATGGA